GTCCATTGGTGGCTATTAGCCACAAGGTATAGATAGGGGCTCTGGGGCAAGTGATGCTCCGTCTTCTTGGTGCTTGGGGGTGGGCAACAGTGGGAGGGCTTCTAGTGTCCTGGCCCCACTGCTGGACCTCCTGAGGGCACTGGTATTTCTGGCCACTGTGTGACACAGAGTGTTGGACTGGATGGGCCTTTGGCCTGATTCAACATTGGCATCTCTTATGTTCTCTTACGTTCTTATGTAGCTTACCTGTTGCTGTCCTTTATACAGTTTATATCTCCGGTACCTAGTATTATATTTTATGGCACACATGGGCCGGCCCAACAAAGGGACGTTTATGTCAGATCCAGCCCTCATAAGAAATGAGTTTGACACCCCTGTTCTAGAGGGATCCTGAGACGCTGAAGATCAGGTTGTCAGCCTCCAGGCAGGGCTTTGGAGATCTCCTGGAGTCACAACTGATCTCTATACTAAAGAGATCAGTTGCTCTGGAGAAAATGGCTGCCTTGGAGAGCGGAATGCAGTGTTCCCTCTAAGCCGAGTCAGTGTGAGCCAGCTCACAGTCTTTTAGCCTCTGGCTCACACACTTTTGCCTTAGCTCAGGAAGGAGGGCTCCAGAGCAGACTAATTTACGCAGCAGCCAAATCGCTTGCTCACCACTTTAATGCCAGGAGCTCACCAAGTAGAATTTTGGCTCACAAGGCTCCACAGCTTAGAGGGAGCCTTGGCGGAATGTATGGCATTGTACCCGATCAAGGTCCCTCCCTTCCTCAGGCTCCGCCCCCAAATCTCCCAGAGTCACCCAACACAGAGTCGGCCATCCTAGGACTCACAGCATCAAGAACGCCAATGATGACCCTGACCTGGATAGCCCAGGCAAGCCCAATCTTGTCAGGTCTCGCAAGCGAAGCAGGACCGACCCTGGCAAAGACTTTGAAGGGAGACCTCCAAGGAATACCAGGGCTGGGAGGCAGAGGCAGGCAATACCAAAGCCACCTCTCTGAAAACGTCCAAGGCCCAGTAGGGATCGCCAGAAGTCACCATGACACAACACAATGAGGCAGTTTCCTCCAGGGCTTTTTTGTAGAAAAAGTCCAGCAGGAACTCATTAGCATAATAGGCCACACACAGCAGCAGAAACTCATTGGCATATTAGGCCGCACCCCCATGTTACCAGAAGTGTGGTCATCCAGCCACACCCACCTTTCCCTTCTTATTCTGTTGACCTTGTTTGTGGTCAAAACCCAGGGCCTTTTTTTGTAGCAGGAACTCCTTTGCATGTTAGGCCACACACCCCTAATGTAGCCAATCCTAATGAGTTTCTGTTGTTGGGTGTGGCCTATTATGCTAATTAGTTCCTGCTGGGTGTGGCCAACTTGGGAGCCAGCCGGAACTCCGTTCCTGTGCGTTCCTGCCCAAAAATAGCCCTGGTTTCCTCTGTCATTACATCAAATGCTCAGCTGCAGGAATCAAACGGTCGGCCTTTACCTCTAGGTGTTTAGCCAGCCGGCCAGGCTGTAGAGGGATAACGTGCTCATAAGATGACAGTTTCCTCCGGATCGGCTCTTGGTAATGGATTTCAAACTGGACTTTGGTCCCTCCGGGCACGTTGAGTTCGGCTTTGAAGTTCTCCATGTCGAGAGCGTTGCTCCTGGGTACAGTCAACAGGATGCAAAAGACAATCTTAATGCGCCGATGACACGCAGTCTCTCAATGGGAAGGGTAGATCCCATAATGGTCTTAAAACCAAAAACATCAGTTTGCTATGAAACGTTTTATTTGGCCGGAAAAGAGAATATTCATGCAACCGTTTTGTCCAGTAGGAAGTCAACACAAATGGAGCATTTCAGTGATTTTGGTGTTTTTCGAATCGTGATCACAGAGCTTCCAAAAGGAAGGCTTTGTTCCTAGCTATCCCATGTAATATCCAGGGGTCATTTCCTGCAGGAGCGCCCAGGAGTGGAACTCCGGCAGTAAAGAGCCCAGGGGGTGGGCACATGCAACAAGCCCCGCCCCCTGCTCCCAGCAGCCCTGGGCCACGAGGAGCAAGAAGCAGCCAGGTAAGTTGCAGTGGGTGTTGCCTTCTGACACACTTCTGGCGATGGCAGGGGGTGTGGCATATGCAAATAAGTTATGCTAATGAGTTATGCTAATGAGCGCCTGCACCTCTTTTTCTATGAAATGATCCCTGGTAATATCACATGAGGAGAAGCAGTGTTTTAGTGGAGGCATGCAAAAGGTCCCAGGTTCAATCCCTGGCCTGTCCAGTTCAAGGGGCCAGAGAGGAGGTAATGTGGAAGACTTCCACCTGAGACTCTAGTTCCTACCAGTTAGGGTTGCCAAGTCCCCCCGGCCACCAGCGGGAGATGCAGGGGAAGGAGTGCCACCTTCAGGTTGGGAAACTCCTGGAGATTTGGGGATGGAGCCTGGGGAAGACACAGGGCCGGTTCGCCTGCTAGGTGAGCTAGCTGCTCGCCTAGGGTGCGCTGGCCCTCAGGGGTGCCAAACTGCGCCCCCCCGCCACCCTAACCGGCGAGAGAGAAAAGGTGGCGGGGATCGAGGGTCTCTGCCCGCCAGCCCCTCTCGCTCTCTCTGTGCACCCGGCTGGGGTGG